GTTCATCTGACATCAGCTTTATTCCCCTCACTGCAGCCACTGCAAGAACCCCCACATCTTACTTCCATCAGTTTACAACCCTCCTGTACCGCAGCCACCTCCTAACCCTCTTGCCTGCCTCTAGTAAAATTGCAACCTTCCTCTTCCTGCTTCAACTGCACACCTACCCAACCCCCTCCAGCCTGCCAACACCTCATCCAGCTCCTCTCACCGCTGTCCTCCCTCACCCTAGTCGGAGCTTCGCATTGGTTGTGTGTGTTTGACAGTTATTTCCCGTTTCGAATAGACTTCATTGTAACCTTTCGAATTTCAACAATAATATTTATACTTCTTTTGTGGTTTGGATTTAACTCCTATATCATTTGATATCATAACTAGTATAATCCTAGTCCTATCCTAGAATTTCCTGGCATCCACTTCCACCAAAAAATTTCTTTCATATTCACAAATCATAGCCAAATTTTAATAAAACCCCAATTTCCCTTACTGATTTTCAAAATCAAAAACCCTAAATAAATTTTTACACCTTTCACCTCCCAACTCTAAACTCTAGTTATGCCAATAAGGAGATACATGCTCGAGCCTACCCGAGAAGAGATACAGTGAGATCCATCGACTTTAGATGAGGCTTGTAGAAATTGAGAATGAAACTGAGGGGGAACTTACCCTTTATGGTTACAAGGAAAGTCGAAGAAACGAAAGAGACGAGAATTTCAACTCCTTCCATGGGGAGAATTTCAGTTATGAAGAAGAAAGGTCATGACACATTGGAATCCAATATCAGAGGAGACCCCGTCTGGAGGACACAGTGATATTGACATAAAGGTGGATCTACTACAACTCGATGGAGATATAGATCCAAATGATTTTATCGAATGGCTACAATCAGTTGAGATGATCTTTGAGTAAAAGAGTTGCTATAAGACAAAAGAGTGAAGCTTGCAGCTATCAAATTGAGAAGGCCTCCTTGTGGTGGGACAACTTACAAAGGTAGAGGAAGAGAGGAGGCAATGACAAGATTATCAAGTAAGAAAAACTACGGAAAACGATGCAGAAAAAATACATACCTCTCCACTACCGCCAAGATATGTCTCTGAGATTCCACCACCTACAGCAGAGAGACCTTTCAGTGGAGGATTTCAAACGCAGTTTGATCTGTTACAGATGAAGTGTGATTTAGTAGAGCAAAAGGAACACACCATGATACCATAGCCCAGTATCTGTGTGCCCTGAAGCCCGCAATCAGCAATATAATACAACTACAACCCTATTTATTACTAGAAGATGTTCAGACCTTAGCCTTAAAAGTGGAGAGGAAGTAAAAAACAAAAAAAACAACCACCACCAGTCAGGCAACCACCCACAATTGGAGACACCAGCAAGAGCACGCCTCGGGGATTTGAGAAAATTGGTTCGAATAAGAAAAACCGCCCCTAGTGAGAAGAAGCCTGAGAAGAGTAGTACATCTGCTACAGTCACCATCAAAAAATTTTTCAGAGGCCATGGATTTGGGCATATCGCTTCCAGCTGTCCGATGAGCCGAGTTGTGTCTTTTACCAAGCACGGTGTTGTGAAGGAGGTTAACAGTAAAATGACATCTAAGGAACAGGATAAGGTGCACCATCTTCCACCTAATGAGGGCGAGATGCTCGTGATTCAACGGATCCTACAGACAGAGGATAAGAGAAATCCGCAAGGGCTTTGTCACAACATAGTTTACACTCGCTGTACTGCGTACAAAAAGGTATGCAATCTTGTCATCGATGGCGGGAGTAGTAAGAACGTGACCTTTACACATATGGTAAAATTGGGCCTCCAAATTCAAAAGCACTTCTAGTCATATTCTCTAACATGATTGAAGAACAAGGTCAATATTGATCGGAGGTGCCTAGTGAATTCTTTGATCTGGAGACAACTATAGGATTAGATGTGGTGTGACATAGTACCCATGGATGTTTGTCACATATTATTAGGGAGACTATGACAGTTTGATTGTAGAACTCGGCATGACGGATTCAAAAACACCTACTCTTTCACCAAGGATGGGAAGTGCATCGTTCTTCTCCCTTCGACGGAGCCCAAGATCACATATTCACAAGTGCCCTTGCCAGCATAACAACATTGGTAGGACCAGTTTTGGTGAAGAAAGAGGATGATGAGACAAAGACACCCACTCTAGCAACGAGATAGACATGACAGAGCATTTCAGGATATCATGATTCATACCTTACCACCAGCGCCACCACCATTCAGGGAGTTTTTGTTACGCTCACTTCGAATCAGTTTGGGCTGACCATGGATTACTTTGTGAGCATTCAACAACATAAGCGAGACAAGCAGACTCAGTTCAGTTCAGTAGTGGACTCCAATTGAGCAGATCGATAGGAACATATGCTCGCAAATGAAGAAAAATCGTCAAGTGCTTTGGGAGGCAATATAGCGGGCAGTGGGATCCAAGTGCTGTTAGGATTGAAGACGAAGAACCAGAAGCTTCGACAAATGAATTCGAAGCTCCCCCAACCCCGGGAGATTAACTTTGGGGAAGGAGGCCTGGCAAGACTGAACCAGTCGTAGGGTTCAGTAGGAGTAAGTTCTCGGTCCAACGGGAGGTTGGACCGACCCCCTCCCACTTTCATTGGGGAGGAATTATTCTCCCCCTTACTTTTATGTTTTCCCGCCTATATATATGTTATAAATATGTGTGTTTGTTGTCTTAAGAGTTTAATTTTGGTCTTCCTGATTTCAGATTTATGTCCAGCTTGCAGCCGCCGGTTGTTTTTCGGTCTAAAGCTGTCTCCGAAGGCAAGAAGGTGCTCTAGCTGTAACTAGTCCAAGGTGGTGATCTTCTCCAAAGGTTCAAGGAGTGCTCCGGTGGTAACTCAACCCCACAGGGGATATCTATCTTCCCCCACTTCCCTCTATAGTCCCTCTTCATATTTCTTGCCGCAAGCCCAAACATGCTCCGATTTTCGGCCGCCAATAACCAGAATCGCCCCTACTTCCCACCGCCAAACACTTTCCTCCCTGTATCCTGCACCGCAACTACCTCCCACCTATTCCACCATTCTAGCTGCCGCTAAACATCCTTCCCCTGTTTACCTAACCCCGGCCTTATTCCCCCTCACTATAGCCACCACAAGCACCCCCACATCTTACTGCCACTTGTTTACAACCCTCTTGTACCGCAACCACCACCTAACCCTCCTGCATGCCTCCACTAAAACAGCAACATTTTCCTTGCTACTTCAACCGCACACCTACCCAACCCCCTCTAGCCTGTCACCACCTCCAACCCCTCTCACCACTGTTAGAGGGCCGTCCTGCCTTGCCCTAGTTGAAGATTCGTGTTGTTTGTGTATTTTTGTCATTGAATTCCTGTCTCGAAGAATTTTTATTGTAAGCTTTCAAATTCTAGAAATATATTTATATTTCTTTTATGATTTGGGTTAACTCTGATATCGATGTCGAGTGAATGGACATAAAAAGTAGTGTGAGAAAGCCTGCAAGTTAACTTTTACAACCCTAAACATATCAAATGTCAAATGAAACTAATTGATATCACATGATAGTGAAATTGCAAGACATATTTATAATAATAGAGTAAAAGACAACTTCAAAAATTTTGCTCTAGAAAATAATTTTTGCAGCCAGAATTATTCGCAAACCCTGGACAATGCAATTTGAAGTGTTAGTGCAAATTTATTGGATTTATATTCTTCAACACCATGCAAAGCAGCGGTCCCTCCAATACAAGCGCTAATCATAATTTTATTTTAATTTAGCCAATCTCAACATATCATGCCCATCATGAAATCAATGGAGAAATCCCTCGAATTGTTTTAACAGAGTTGGATGTCAGTTTTGAAAGAAGCAGATATCCAAACAGCTTTGACTCCCTGGTAGCAGAAACAATTACTAAATCTCTACTGATTTCTATGTCGCATGCAATATTTCAAGCAAAGGACAGACAAGCTGAAAGAGCTTTTAACTCAATCCTCCAGATGATGATTTGAATTTTGTTTTTTTTTTTAGTTAAAATGGAAATCTTGTATTAAAAACCTTCAGCTTCCCCAAATACGCATAAAACACCTCAACCAAGTGATTGCTAACAAATAAACATGACCTTTTCTTTTTTGATACAATTCATCCCAGACCCAAACTAAAAAGCTGAGCTCAATGAAGATACATGCAAAATATTTCGGGCTATGTAAGACAAATATGGTAAGTGTCAAATAACTGCATACCGTGTTATGCATATTAGCAGCATGAGGGAGACTATTGAGGTAAGGAAACCAATCAGAATTCTGCAGCAAGAAGATAATAAAAAAACTGATATGTTCAAGAGTTTAGCCCTTCAAAATATGCAATATTATTATCCACAACATCAATCCTCATCACTGAGAAGCATGAGTCTATGGCATAGATAAGAAAAACTCAACGAACTTATTTTTTCGGATTTTACCTTCCCTAGTTTCTGTTCAGCTAAAAGAACCACAGCAAGACGAGATATTGTTCCAACATCATCAACAATGAGAGACTCGACTTCGGGGATAATTTTATCAGGTGTGAGGTGCTGCAAAGGACATGAGAAATGATGCTGTGTTTGTTTCCAAAAACTGGAGAAATCATAAAAGACAACGGAAAAACACACCACAGTATATGGAATCTTTAATATACAGTCTCCATCTTCTATAGGTTCTGAGGCAAATAATGACCTGAAGTTGAAAATTGGCACTTTAGAAATTGATAATCATGCCAAGTCAAGTATATTATTCACAGTAAATAGTTGGTGGATTTCAGAGAAAAGGTTGTCTGCTTAAATATCAAACAGCTGGGATGGTAAGAATGTCTAACAGAATTTTTTAATGACATGAAGTACAAAAGCTTAATTTTAGAAAAAAAAAATCATGTCCTTAATCAAAGGGCTCAAACATTTCCTTTATCATAAAAGCAGCTAAAAGAAGGCGTTTAACGAATAAGACTACCAACGACGCTAGGTCAGGGGAAGAACTAATGCATGAAGTCCTGCTTCAGCATTTACGAGAGGCCCTTTTAGAGATTCAAACCCAGGACCACATGCTCACAATGAAAGCAACCTAATTACTGATGAAGACCGCCTCAAAAGAAACTGGCAAAACTCAGAAAAAACATAAGGCACAATTACTCCTTAGAGATCCAACCTTAAAAATTAGTGATTAGCGCACTAAATTTATGGTCTGTTTGGGGCTGATGCAGCTTAATAATAAGCTAATGCATAGAAACTGTTGCGGATAAGCTGACTGTCTGTTTATTTTTTATAGTTTTAAAATAGTTGCACTGCAGCTGTTTCTGGACAAATGATCATTCTGCCCCTATATAGTAATATTTTCTGCAATAGAATTGTTCCTACCAGTATATTTTATACTTTAAAATTGATGCGTGCTAGAAAATTCGTGGCGGTAGAGTAATGGATTATCGTCTTAGCGTTGCACGAGAATTCAGCACACACTCAGATAAAAATGAATCGAGCTGTGATCACACCAGAAGTTTTTACGTGGAAAACCCGTAAAAGGGAAAAACCACGGGGTCTGACCTAGTTGTAAAAATCCACTATAAGTTGATGATTACAGATGCCCCTTGTCCCACAGGCGGGAAAAGATTACTAGTTTTCCACGTTACAACGTCGACTGATGACGTCTAGCAAGCGGTGGTTGACGGAGGTCAGCGATGGCTAACAACAGTCGATGATAGTTGGCGGTAGTTGACAGAGGTCAGCGGTGATCGGCGGCGTTCAACCGTGGCC